TATTAGATTTAATTTGTATCTAAACGGTGATTACCTCTTCACCAGCGCCCTGTCCAGTGAGCATTCTCTTGAGGTGTCAGGTGGCCAAATTTGGAGAATACGGTGTATGTGGAAGCTCTTCGAAGCCGATTCATGGAAATTTGTCATCAGTTATTTTTTCTTTTTCAAATGGAGCCGTTTTTGGCATTTTGTCCTTCAGACAAATCAATTTATTATTTTAATATACCTAATTTCATTTAAAATATAAATATTTCTTTCCAACACGTAAATATACAGACTTTAAAATATGCTTAATAATAATAATATAGGATAAATAATACATTTAAACAAATTTAAAAATGCCCTCTGTACCTATATTGCTGGCATTTCCTCGCTGGATTAAGATACTTATTCGTTGAAAGCACCAGCTCTGGGGTCATCTACCAGGTGCCAACTTAAATCTTTAATTATCTGTGCACTTGAACCCCACGGCCCAAGAGTCAAATCCAAAGGGAACAAAATCAAAGTTGGAGGAAAGACTCTTTATAGCCGTTTATTATTTTCCTGTGTACCTTTACAACTTGAAAATAATATTATGTTCAACATTCTATTCTTTCTATGTTTATTGCAACACTGTAATAGGCCGTGACGCATTAGCGACATATGTAGGTGACGTTACTGGAATGTACAATTTCGTAACTGAGTAGGTACTAGTAATTTGCTAACACATTTCTAACTTCTCTTAGGTATCTGAACTTCAAGAACCGAATGAGTCTACGTCCACGTGGGCGTCCACACTGAGTCTCCATCGCGTTCGGTCTTGAGCATCGTCTTTCTCCTCTCTCCAAGTCTTTCCGGCTCTCTGCCTCATCTGCAACTGCTGAGGAAGTTGCATGGATCTGGTCTAGCGTCTTCTTAAGTTCTCATGTCATTTTCTCACGTATATTATAAAGAGGAAACATATGTGTTTTTGTATGTATGTAATGTTTTCACACAAAAACTACTGGACCGATTCCGAAAATTCTTGCGCCATTAGAAAGCTGCATTTTCACTGACTGACATAGGCTATATACATTTTCAAACAAAATTGATATCCTTAATAAAAATGCAATAATATAACCCAAGGTGTGAAAAAAATATTTTTAAAAAATCTGCAAATTATTTAAATAAAATTGTATAATACTTATTTCCCACATAATTATTCTATCTTAACAGTACATAATATGGTAGAACTACACAACACACACTACACCGATAATTCTACAATTAAAATACATTAAAATATATCTAATATATAAAATTCTCGTGATACAATATTCGTTCCCATACTGATACGGACAACATCTATTTTTCATCCCCCTAAATGTTATAAGGGTGGTCCCACCCCTAAATTTTAATTTTTAGACAAAACTTTTTGCATACAAAAATACATACAACCCTCAATTATCACCCCTCTACCATCAACCCCTATTTTTCAGTATAGTAGATAGTTATTTTTATTGAACTAAAATAATGTTTCCCAGAATTAATATAGATGGCAAAATGACGGTTGCAGGGTCAGCTAGTATATATAAATATATATGAGTACATAAGGACTCCAATAAATATAAATATTACTGCAATTCTGTCTATAGTTAATTATTATTCGATACGTGTTTCTCGATACGTAACAAACGGTAACTCTTTTAATATTCAACTCTCGTTTGACCTCACAAACGCGGCCAGGAACTTTGGTATTCCATAAAAAGAACACGCCTGTCTTTATCCCCGTCGTAAAAGTAGCCTACGAAGAAGAGATATTCTAGAAGTAGAGTTTGATAATGCCTGCAAGTCTTACTGATATCATTTCTATTGCTAATATTTGCCTGGTCAGCTAGTATAAAAGAAATAACGCTTGGTTCAGGTGAGTTCTAGTCCAACTGAAGTTTGTGTGGTTGTAGTTTCTGGATCTTTGAAAATTCTTTTAGCAAGAGACAGCCATTTTTGTTGTGTTATAGGCTGATCACGAATGAAACTGTCGTGGTAGTGGGATTTGCAGTTTCTTACGGAAGCTGCTTTGATGAGAGACATGTTCTAGAGCTTCATCATGCCTACAAGAGTTCAGCCAAGTACAGCACGGAATTTATTTCGGTTTTCACCAATATCTAGAATGATTCATGAGGAAGGTTCAAGGCTTTTGCGTCACGCCCGTGCGATGTCAGTCATAAATGTTGCCAAAACGAAAAACCTTGAGTGAAGGTGGGGTTTCCATCTGTTACGCAATCAGAAAGGAATTTCTAGTAAAAGCCTGTAGCTGAGTTTCATCATCGAACGTCAAAATTCTAACGTATCACCTCGACGTACCTTTCACAACTGAGCGTTTAAACTTTAAAGGCACTTACCACGCACCACTAAGTAAAACCAGCCCATTGAAGCATTTCCGAACCAATTCGACTTAGGTGCCATAAAGAGTGTACCAATTATTAGAAGGCAACTTACGATACCTCTGAAAGTGTCTATCTTGCCCGTTTACCCCTAGTTATTAAAAAAAACTTGGACAGGGGATTTGTGGAAGAGAATTAAAAAATTGTCTAAAGATTATTTGCGTGGACGAATAATTTCATAAAAACCGTTTCGAGTTTAAAACACTAGTAATTATTGGTAAGTTCTAGGGTTTTAATTATATTTTTATATTCCATAACATATAATGTAGATTGTACATTTGAGAGATGTAGCATTATGTGGTGAACTTTAATAATTTTTTTTTTGTTGTATCTGCTTCATGGCAATCTGCTATCCAGCAATAAGCCACTTGTTTGTTTGATTTTACTCAGTTCATGTTATCCTCAAGAGCCATACTCGACATAGAGCCACGACTCTCTTGATGTTAAGAGGTAAATCTTTTATATAGGCTCGGTACGTCCCTTCTTTTTAGCCGCTTATGCTAAAGACCGCCTTCTCCGCTCAGAGCGTGTGCCAGTTTATTTACATGGGAGGTCACCTTCTCCTGGTATTTCAGGCTGTTTTGAGCTATTTACTGTCGAACTGTTTTTAGGCCGAGGTCGAGGTATATGTACCTATTGCTTATACAATGTGGGATGCCAAACATTGTTCTCAGAGCTTTGGTCTGGAATCTCTCCAAGATATCTATGTTACTGTTGCTGGCCGCTCCCCACAGTTGAATAAATAAAGTAAATTAACTAAACCTGAGAGACAGAGATTACTGCGTTAGCATAATTTATCCGGCAAAAGTAATTTCGTTGAAAAAATTCAATTCTATACAACGGCTCGTAGTTGTTACGGTTGGTTTTACTTTCTCTCATTTGTGTCATGTTATGAAATTGTGACACTCGCGTGATTCACATCCGTTTGTGTAACTTTTGACTTCATTCACAAAGTATATATGTAGTATAATTATGTGTATTATGGCAATGAAGTATAAATAAATATATATCCGACTCCAAATTTAAATAATATTTTATATGGTATGGGTATGAAAATTATCTAATAATAATCACAATGAACCCGTATCGTATTAGAAATATATCCCAGAATAGATTCTAGAAAGTCATAGATATTGATGTCTTCTATAAAACTGTAATACATCGCTCTATTGTTAATAGTTTTTGCAGCATATAGGAATCTTAATTGGTCTTTTCTTGGGTGACACTATCCTAATTTTATACTAGTGTAAAGTATATATAGTTCATCATAGTAGGGTTCTAATCGAGAAATAATTTTTCAATCTCAGTTTTCCCATTCAATACAATGAAATCTTTCCTCTTTATAATATTAGTGGAGACTATTATTGACACTTGACAAATGGCAGATACAGTCAAACTGTCAACAGTAGAAGTATGTTGATTTTGGGGAAAATATATTATTTAAAAACCATTAAATAGAGGATTTAGAGAGAAAAAAGCCTGGAGTTCATATTGGTCACACAACCACATTTTCAAGTCTCAAATGAGTTAATCACTGAAGAAAAAAGTAATGGACGTTGTGACACAGCTGAAATAATAAAAAAAATACAAACATTTCAACGATCAGCCGAAATGAGCAATAGGCTAGATATCACCGCCGTCGTCGTGGTCGCCTGGCCGCGCCTGGCCCACGACAGATTCGAGTGGAACCGGATGGCGGAGGCCTGGGACGCTGGACAAACCAAAATGAAAATGCCAGCATGTGATGGTCCATAAATGTTACATTGTATTTTACCTTATATTAAAAGTTATAAATTAAAAGTCAAAAGTCAAGTCATTCATTCCAATTAGACCAGCTAAAATGGCACTTTTGAACGTAAATAAAATACAAAGATGATTCTAGTTGCCCCTTAGAAAAGGTAGTTTCGTGTGGAGAAGAACGGGCGAGAAACTCCACGCTTACTCTTTTAAAATAGGTTTTACAATATATTGTATATACATTAGTTTAATAATTATATGTGAAGACAATGTACTCCTAGAATATAACTACTATACTAAAAAAAGTTAGTATACATGTTCCTCACATATTTACAAATATCGAAACCGTAATAATAAAAAAACTATGAAACAGTGTGTAAGATAAAAATAAAATAATTACAGTTTGTAGTATTATAAAATAAAATAAACTTCAATATTCATAATTAAGTTTTGGAAATTAAGCCTATTCAAAATGTTTATTAGTAACCTTTACCAAAATAAAATTAAAAAACTAATAGAAAATTAAAACAAATTTAAAAATGGTCCCTGTGTTAATGCTGGCATTTCCTCGCTGTATTCGTTGAAAGCACCAGCTCTGGGGTCACCTACCAGTTGCTAACTTAATAATTAGTGCCTGTGCACTTGAACCCCACGGCCCAAGAGTCTACTCCAAAGGGAACAAAATCGAAGTTGGAGGAAAGACGCTTATTTATGAACTGTTTATTATTGTTATTTAAGAATAAGAGATGGACTTTAAAGATATAAATTATCGTTTGAAATATTTAATTAATATGGTTAATTGTTAAAACGGTATTTATGTTCGTTCTTCTGTTTCAGGTTCGATGTGATGTGTTAGTCAAGATGGGCGTAAAATGGCGGTTGAAATGCCGCATCTGGGCGGTTTTAGCAATCATACAAGTCGCTCACGGTAAGTGGTTATTGTTATGTGTCCGAGGCCAGGCCTACGGAAACTCTTAAAACCCCTTCCCGACAAAAAAGGCCCGTAGGAGGCCCAGACACGTTCTTACGGAGCCGGATGATCCAATCACCGTAGCAAACGACGAATTAAAAGCCGCGCTGCCGATAATAATAAAAATTAGATTAGGGTAAAAACCGCCTTCACCGGTGTGGCGAAGGCCTGGACATTTACTTCGTACTTCGCTCACTCCAGTGAGTTTCCGTACTGCCCTTTAGGCCATTGACCACCCCGCGACGGTCTAAGCCGAGGTCCAAGTCTCACAGGCGCTCTTGCGCTAGTAGCGAGAAAAGCGCCCATTCCGGCCGAACTATGCTCGCCAAAACAGCCCGAACTGAGCTGTAAAGGACCTTACAGCCAACAGCGAGATTCCATTCAAAAAAGAAAAAGAAGCGAGGCTTTTTTAAGCTTGGTTCTTGGTTGGGAATTAATAAATCCTTGTAAGGGTGTACAGGACGATACCACAGGGGCTAATAGACCTGGATCAGTGCGCAGCAAAAAAATTACCGACACTAAATTAACGCCATTGAGTTTCATACATAAATAGATTTTGTGGTCATTCGTGCGTGTCTCAAGGTCGTGAGGTGTGGTCACACTAAGACTATCTACAATATATATGTTTCTATATATCTTTAAATAGGCAGTGTATATGTAGAGGGTTATATATGGCCAATTGTTCTTGCCTGTGAGGATTGGACAATTTGACATACCCGCTGGCGCTTAGAAGCATTTGAGATGTGTTATCGTTGCATGCTGGATCCAGAAGGTCCCTAAAGAGAAGGTTTTATAAATAATAGATGAAAAATGCAATCTGAGGTCAAGAAAGCTCATTGGTTTTTTTAATATTCATATAACTGTCAAAATTCATGGCGAAATTCTTTTTAGAGTTAAGTTTAATCGCTCTGAACGCTGTCAATAACGTCATACATATGTCAACGACCTATCATCATTGATCACAAGCGTTACGCGCTTTCGTAAAAACAGCTAGATCCGTGTTTCCCAACGTGATTTGATTATTAAGATGACTATTCGAAAATTTATTGAAATTATTTGGAGTTTGTATTTCAGGTTTTCATTTTGAAAATTTACGTACTTACTGTGTTTCGTTAACTATTTCCTAATACTTCCTAAAATCTATCATTTAAAATTTAAAATTTTTAATATGAAACAAATATTTGTTCAGCTCAATTCAACGAATAAGTATCGCAATACAGCGAAGAAATGCTGCCAGTGTTAAAGATACAATGTTACTGGGACCAAACTTTTTAAATTTGTTTTAATTTAAATTAAATTCTTACTATGTAGCTAAAAACTTGTAAAGCTATCTTTGTAGACGAGTTTAACTGAAGGGTTAAAATAAAAAATAATTCGACTTAGGGTCCTTCAAGAAAAGAGCGTACCAATTCTAAAAAAGCCGGCAACGCACTTACGAGCTGTCTGGCAATGTGAATGCCTTTATCACTTAATATCAGGTGAGCCTCTTGCCCGTTGGCCTCCTATTACATACAAAATGATATCATGATAATAAATAAATTCATATTACAATGGGGCACGGCACAAAGGTTTGGAAACCTAAGATCCTAATCTAGAACTTTTAAATGGATTTAGATAATTTCAATAATATAAAGACCACCATTAGAACCCTACTATGATAAACATAGGCCATATTATATTTCAAAAAAGTTAGGGTATGAAATTACGAGTGTAAAGAAAAGACCAATAAAAGTTCCTTTATGCTGTGGAAACGATTGACAATAGAGCAATGTACTACAGTTTTATAGAAGACATTAATATCTACAAAAAAGTCGACCAAAGAAATTAAATAACGCAGGTGTAATCGAAGAAAAAGACAAAGATAAACTTAGGCAACCTTTAAAAAAAGCAATGGCGCTACAACCTTTTAGTTCTGGGCCTCTTAGGTCTCTGTTTCATGAGAGAGGTAGGTTTCAGTTGTACCTGATTGGGTCTAACGCCGATATTACGATGATTTCCTTCGAGCGACTGTTAAGCCACTGTAAGTCAAAGGTAGGTGATCAGCCTTCAGAGGCACGTGGGTCTAATGCCGGTAATACGATGCGAGCGAGTGTTAAACATAGAGAACAGTGAACAGCCGGGGTTCTACGACCTCAGGGAAGGTGAAGCCACTGACTCAGTCCACAGATCAAAGTCCATACTCGGTGAAATTAGAAGCACTTTCACTACTTTCATTTTCCTATAATGCATATTTGTATGTTGGTTTACGAGATTTGGTTTTGGCCGAAGACCTTTTGTATAGATGTAGTTCTACCAAAACCTGGTGCCTTCGAACTGGAACCTAACAGTTGTTATAGATCAGGGTACGGGCTGGAGGCTCACCTGATGTTGATATGACGAGCGAGTAACATTAAATCAGTGACGCTAAAACCCTTTTTAGGTCAGGGCCTCAGATTTCTATATCTGTTCATCATGTGTCTTATAGGCAAGTAGGTGATTAGCCTCCTGTGCCTGACACACGCCGTCGACTTTTTGTGTCTAAGGCACGATTCCTCACGATTTCTTCCTTCGTACGAGCGAATGTTAAATGCCCACATAGAAAGTCCATTGGTGCGCAGCAGGGGTTCTGCGACCTCAGGAAGATAGTCGCACGCTGAAGCCACTAAGCCAACACTGCTCATAGCATAACAGACCAATCAACATTGATATTTATTAACACTTCGTGGCATACAGAAATATAATACAATTGACATAATTAAATGAAAAGAAGGGCAACTGGCGGCCTTTTATTGCTTTCGAGTGATCTCTTCCAGGCAACCAATGTGAGAAAAAAAATAGATTTGGTAAGCGCAAGAAGTGAAAACTTACAAAGGACATATTTATTAAGACAAAACTAATGGAACAAACAAATAAATTAAAACATATGTAAACAGCGAGTACAAAAGTTACAATATGGATATGCTTGTACAGTAGAGATTTAAAGAAAAATAGAGAAGGAAGAAGTGAATTTCGTAGCCTCAAACCTTAAAGCATTCGCCAAGGATGAGTTATTTTTAAGGGACCCGAAAAAATTCGAAGTCAAATTCATTTATTCATTTAAGTAACACGATGTACACTTATGAACGTCAATAAAGAAATATATCATAATAATAATTTATTGCAAGAATATGGTACAAATATGTGTAAGGTGGTACAATCGTAAGTTCGCATATTCCACACATAATGGCGCGCAAATTTGTCTTGAAAGTAATTTTAAATTTTACATTATTACTCATATGAATTGGTCAGTTCTTATATTATTTGTATGTTACATATCATATTATACGTTATTAAATTGATACTAAATACGCAAATAAACATTTATTGAATAATAATTTTTTTCCAAAAGTCGATTTTTAAAAACTCTAGTCGGAAGATCTTTTATTTTTTATTTAAATTATTGTAAACCATAATGGCCATGCAAAAGGTGTTTTTCCTAAACATATTAAATGCTTCTAATTTTACATTGACTGCTAGTTCTCAAATCAAGGGCTTCTGGCATTGAATGTCCATGGACCGCATCACTTAACCTAAGGGCAGACCATTTGCCCCTGTACTATAATTTACAGATACTCCTAACCACTTATATATATTACACATGTCACAGTCCACTGGTTAGCAATCTAACACATATACCGTAAAAATAGCTAATAAATTTCCTATCAAGAAATACCACGTCTAACGGAATTAACTGTACACACCGCGCCCATTCAATAGACTGGTAAAAACTAGAAAACCTGATGTGTTAAATTAAACATTGGAAGCTTAACAGTCTTTAGTAATGATTTGAAACACAAAATACTTTCGTTAATTAAGCAAGTACAATAGACACTCGAATTTCTATCTTTGGATATTTGTTACTTACTCGTGAACGTCGCTACTTGTCGAACTTGAATTCGTGTATGCGGTGATGTTAGTTATTTCGACTATTTGCGTGCTCCTATTTCACCGTGTCTCCTGCTGATAGAGAACAAATCTTTGTTTGTAATTTATTTTATTATTGTTTATTACTTAAGATGTCTTGTGGAACTTGGTGTAATGCTTGCAGCTCTTGCAAACATTATGTAAATAAAAAACTTGGCGATAAAATAGAGTGGCGGAGAGTTTATTGCCAGTTCTTCTCTTCCGTTCTACGCCCTTGATTTGAGAACTGGCAGAAAATGTAAAATTAGAAGCATTTTATGTATATTTCTTTTTGACGTTCTTAATGTACACTACATTGTGTTACCTAAATGAATAAATGATTTTGATTTGATGTATGGTATCTCAAAGGCAGTTAAAGATTTAGAAGGGGCAGAATTTTGTCGGAGCCTCAGTCCCTCGGACCCTCAAAATAAATAAGTGGCACTACAACCTTTTTTTGGTCTGAGCCTCAGATTTATGTATCTGTTTCATGATTTGTCAATCTAATAGACAAATAGGCAATCAGCCTCCTGTGCCTGACACACGCCGTCGTCTTGGGTCTAAGGCACGATTCCACGCGATGTTTTCCTTCGTACGAGCGAGTGTTACACAAAGAAAGACAGTCGATTGGTTCACAGCCAGGGGTTCTACGACCTCAGGGATGAGAGTCGCACGCTAAAGCCTTTAGGCCAACACTGTTCACGTAAACCCTCCAGGTGCCCTCTTAAAAAAGAAATTGGCGTTTGTAACACCAGCTGAAGGGTCCCGCTATCCTAAGCGCAGTAAAACCAACGTTATGTCACGGAACAATTACCGCTAGCCAATTAGATTCCCAGTAATTGTTACGGAAGCGATGAGAGAATTCCGCTGTATTGTGCCAGTTTGCGTGGAAACTCCACGATTATTGCACTCTTGAACCAGCCTTGGACCTTACTGTAGCCTAGCTTAAGTTAATTCTAGCAAGTGCTTTAGTAAATTAGCTAGTTTAATATTAATAACATAAATTTCTCCAGTGGCATCTCGAAAAAGTTGCCAACACACGAAACCAGGCTGGTGAATCAGGATGTTGTTATTGGAGAATGCCGAATGCCCCAACCTTTTATCAAAATTTAAATTTCCCTCTAGATACCCCAGGCATCCTATCATTCCATTTGTCCCTCCTTTCCGGAGAACGTGTTTCGGTTAAAACTCACCGATGTCCAGATTGAGCATTCTGATAAAGCAGCCCGGTCTGGAAATCCATAGTTGCTCCCTTCACACTTAAGAATTGATTTTCGTTTAATGTTTATAATAAGTTTTCTTATACCAATGTATCAGTGTTTGAACGTTGGCAACGATTTATAAATAAATATATGCATATATAAAACTGAACGCACGCGTAAATATTTGACATTATTTTACATAAAAATCAAACACGTGAAAGGCTCTTGGGCCGTGGGGCTCATACCATATACTAACCCATAGCTGTTGCTTTCCTTGCTCAACGAATAAGTATCGCAATAAAGGAAATGTCATATTAATGGTACATTGCCACATTTTCTATTTATTATTTTTTAATTATTATTACTATGTAGGTTAAGAAAAATACTGTATATTTGTTGGAAATAAATGAAATATTTCGTTTCATGTATTATATAACCAAGCTTCAAGCTTAAAAAACTTCATGACGGGGGTCTGAGGAAACTGCGACTTTCACCAAACAAACAGTTAACATGATCAGTCAGTCGTAAAGATGCAAGTTGGCAAACACGCGATTATAGAAATATCTTATATGATAAAACACCGCGTTAGGCTTCAATTCTCTTCTTGGTCTTGCTAATCATACTATTTGTGTTCAGTTCACTGATAGGTTCAGGATGTTGATGGGGCTCCCTCGCTTTTACAGTGCGTCTACGATGTGTGGTTTGTTTTTACCCCACGATACGCTAGCGAGCTGTTAATAAGCAATTAATAAAATTAATATTATTATTTTCCAATTGCTGTGATACATGAGAAAAACGAAAATTAAAAACATCCATACCACGACACCGTCGTACGCTGTTATTAGGGTCCATCAACCAAAAAACCTCGCAGGCGTATTCGAAACGTGTCCACTGATACTAATACACGGAGAGTGTTTAGGGGAGTTGGTTGGATGCAGCTGCAGCTGAGTTTTATCATCACCTTGAGCGTTTCTTAAGGCAGTTTTGGGCACCACCACTATGTGGGACCCACTGAAGTATTTCCGAACCAATTTGATTAGGGTCCTTCAAACATTACATACATTCGGCTCGCACTGTCCAGCGTCAACAAGCTCCCGTTCCCCAGTGCTCCCGCTGCTTAATGGGTTTCCCCTGTTATATAAAAAAAGGTCGGCAACGCACTCGCGAGCCCTCTGGCATTGAGAGTGTCCAAGAGAAACGGTATCATTTATCATGGCCCATGCGAGCGTGCCCCCACCTTTCCACTTATGTTTTATGTATGTTTTATATTTCACATGGTTTAATAGATCTCTCTTTTCAGGTTACGAAATGTACACCATATCTCAACTGTCACCAAAATCAGCACACAACGACAAATCACCTCAAGACGTACTTAGAACAGAGCCAGAAAACCTCGCGTTCAGAATAGAGCCTAGCGTGAAACTCGAAGAAGACTTGACACCAGTTGAGGCTAGCAGGAACCCTAGATCAATTAACACAGACGAAATAGCTTTGAATAACAACGAAATCGACAACGAAGTAGTTCACAATAAACGTAAATACTACGATATTACCCCAACGAAAACTATAGATTATTACAACGATGACGCAGCTATGTTGCTGTCATCTGGGTTTGGTGATAAATTAGACTTTAAGTTTCCGGGGGAAGCGAAAAGGGCTCCGAAGGGGCGTGCACTGACACCTACGGAGCCCAAAGTGAAAGCTACTGTGCAACCAATCCTTAGGGAGGAAGGGCGACAAAACACGGAAATACAAAATATAATCACTGGCATAGTTAAACTGCTAAATGGTAATGTAAATGTGCAGGCGAATTCGCAGTTACTGAACGGTAGACCGCGACCGATGGCGTCCAGAATTAATAACCGTGGACCGCCTAGAATATCTGAAGTGCCTCTACCAGAGTTTGATACTGTAACACACTCATTCGTACCGACGAAGACACCACCACCGTACCCGTTTGAAAGACCTCCTGTGGAACAAATCCCGCCTAGACCGTTCCATAGACCCATTCCGCCCTGGCAAAGACGACCACGTCCGCCGAATAGACGACCCAATCCCGGTCTACCAATATATAAACCACCTGTATTAGAAGACAAACCTGAAATAGAAAATGTAATACCAATAGAATTCACTACAGAAAAGAATGTCACTGATACTACCACGGAATTTACTACAGCGAAAACAATAGAAAAGTCAACAGAAGCACTAATAGAGAAGACAACAGAAGTTCTGGAAACTACAAAGAAACCAATTGAGGTTACCGAAGCAACCACAGTTAAAACGACAACTGAAAAGCTTGAAGAGATTATAAATCATACGGAAAAAACATATAAAGAGGAAGTCATAGATAAAAAGGAAATCACAAACAAAAAGGAAGTCACAGACAAAAAGAAAGTCACAGACAAAAAAGAAGTCTCAGACGAAATCGAAGTGACAGATAAAAAGGAAGTGACAGACAAAACGGAAGTAACAGACAAAAAGGAAGTGACTGCTATAAAGGATGTAACAGATAAAGAAATGAAGCATGATTTTGATGTTATACAACCGTCCATTACTGAAGTTTCCATTGAAGCTACATCGACTTCTTCTACTGAAGCACTTGGTGGTACAACTCTAGGTGTTACTACGAAAACGGATGCTGTCATTGAGAAGACTTCGATCAATACTCAGCCAATAGCAAGTAAGAATTTGTTTTTATATCTAGAAATATATTTCCGACTTTTGCCGCGTACCATATGAAAACAGCTGGCCAATGAAGTATGTCTGGTCAAATTCGACTTAGGGTCCGTCAAAAATCGTACCAATTTTTATTGGACTCGCCAGCCCCTTGGTTTTGAGTGCCCATGGGAACTCCTATCACTTAGCATTAGATTAGCCCTCTGCCTGTTTGCTCCGTGTTCTATAAAACAAGGGTTGTTGAAGAGCGAACTTATGAGGCCGGCAACGTATTTCAAATAAAAATACAGGTACAACCCTTAGTCTTGGCCACATTTGTTTCGTCATCTCTTATTTCTCTTAATAGACAAGTAGATCGGCCATCTGTGCCTGAGACACGCCGTCGTCTTTTTGGGTCTAAGGCACGTAGGAGCCAGTGTTAAATTCACACATAGACAGAAATCCATTGCTGCACAGCCGTGGACCGATCCTACAAAGTCGTGGACGACCTCAGCTGTGCCCCAATGTTCTTTCTTTCTGGTTCTTTTAAATATCTATAATCTCTAACAACAACCTTCGACGTCTTAGTAACTTTCTTCCCCTCACTAAAACCTGGCACAACCTCTCCTTCTGCCATTACTAAACGCTGATTCTTGCTCTTTTGATCTAAATGAGGAATTGCTTTGAAATTGGACAGACTCCTATTTCTGTATCTATTTCATATTCAGTTTAAGTACGACCACATCTCTGCGTTCCGTAAGCGGCTAAGCTGGTAACCATTTCGTCAGCGTGATGCTCACGTTCTCCATGTCTTATGGTCCATCCTGTTCAATCCTACAACTCCTTAACTCAAAAACGATTTCAAATTTATGGGAGGCAAAAGAGGAGAGGAGGTTTGGAATTCACTTCCCGTCCCTGTACGCTTAGCTCCTTCTCTATCTTCCTTTAAATCTCTGCATTACCTGACCACATCTTATCCCTAACTTTCCTGCTAACTGATCTAACTGAAATTATCGTGATTGATGTGTCCTGTTCTTTGTTTTTTTTAAGTTGCCTGGAAGAGATCGCGCAATGGGGCCGCCAGTTGCCCTCTCTTTTATTTAAAAATTTATACTAGAAACTTCTAGAACTAGAAAAAATTCTTCACATTATTAATATACGTAAAATACCTTACAGCATCCCAAGGTATCCCCTACCAGCCGTACCGTCCGAGGCCAGGAATAGTTCTGGATGACACGGACTTCAAACCTCACGGAACAAGGCATCGAGACGCCCCCGTCATCACGGCCCCAGAACATCTCCCGGGATATGGAGAGATATTTGACGTTACTGTGTCAGCTATTCAAGGACCGGGGGAAAAAGGTTCAGGTGAGTTCCTTTGAACTTTAAAACTAATTTATCCAGGTAACGTTTGTGAGGTTGTGGGGGATAATTTCTGGATCTACTTGATAAATATTTTACCCATAGATAGTCACGTTATTTGTGGTATAGACTGTATTAACCCAAATGAAAAGAATGTCGTGGTAGTCGGACTTGCAGGTTCTTACGAACGCTGCTTTAACGATGATATGTTCTAGAAACTGTAGAGCTGGATAATGCCTGCAAAGGTCTTATTGATATAATTTATGTTGCTAACATTTGCCAGGTCAGTTAGTATAAAAGAAATAACAGTGACCCTTGGAACAACCTGGAAACAACAGTTTTAATCCAGTCTAAGTTAGTGAGGTTGTGCGGGGTAATTTCTGGATCTGCTTGAAAATAACAGGCGCTCCAACCCTTGGGGTGGAATTCAGACTTAGCGCGAACTATATAAAAATCCATTACGTTTTTGACGTTCATTCAGCGTTAAATTTTGTTTCTGAATCTCACCTCTGTGTTAGGTAGTAAAAGTCGAATCATGAATTTCAGTACATATAGAGAATATAAACATACACAACGATGACATCATAGTATCGCCCTCGGGTGAGCAAGGATTTGTGTCAATCGATGGGAAGAGGACTTACCTCAACCTATTTGACACGAGCACCAGTATAAGTCCCACGAAGGTGCAGCAACCGCAACAGCAGACTGGTGAGTTGAATAAACCAATATTTAAATATTGTTTAATTTATCTACAAGGGGGTATATATGTTTAATTATATTTATTACCCTCCCGTCTCGCTCCTATCTTGAACCCATCTTGATCTTATCTCGCTTCTCTCACTCTATCTCGAGCCCATCACGGTCCTATATCGCACACATCACACTCCTCTGTCGAAATTATCTCGAACCCATCTCGATCCTATCTCGCTTCTCTCTAACTATCTCGAGTCCATGTCGAACACATCACGCTCCTATCCCGCACTGTTTTCCGTCACCGTTCGAGCGAATGTTAAATGCACACAATTTGGTGCACAGGCAGGGATCGAACCTACGACCTCAGGATGAGAGTCGCACGCTGAAGCCACTAGGCAAACACTGTTCAATCATTCATATCATTATCTGCTCATTTAATTGATTGAAATTTTATTATCAATAAATAGTGACAGTACCACCCCAAACGGCCACGCAATTGGGGACAGGTGTGGCCGTACCAGCTGATGATGTGCAGGCACCGATACGGAGACCAGTCCATCGGCCACAGACGTTCAGACGGCCACAGCCAACTGTTAGGTGAGCTTTGTGTAGTACTTTTTTATTTCCTTTGTTCGTTTTTATTGTAGATATTGTTGGCTTCTATGAAACTGTAGTACATTGATCTATTATCAATAGTTTCCACAGAATCTTTATTGGTCGTTTTCGGGTTAATTTTTTAATCCCAGTTTTGGAGCCTATCAAATCTTTCCTGTTTATATTATTGAATTTTTTTTTCAGAATCGATACATGCATCGTTGGCGATGACTCCACTTGTGATCAGGCGCAGAACGAAAAGTGTAGGACGGAAGCTGGTAGGAATTGTTTCATAATATAAGCTGCCCCCACGAACTTCGCCTTATTGTACTTAGCCTACCTTTTTAGTAACATACCAACATATGTAATTGCTACTGCTACATAGAGACTGTTCGCTTTTCTCTCCATAAAAACCTTCCTCTGTTCAAGGAATAAATTTAATAAAATTTACTCGAATTGCGGCTGGATCAATCTTCGAGTTTTGCGCCTAGCGACATATTTTGAGATTAATTTTTATATAGATTACTAGCTGCCCCCGCGAACTTCGTTTCTCCTTAATGTGATTTACTTAGCCTACGTCTTTAGTACATACCAACATCGAACATTTTGCTATGCTACCCCAGAGACTTCGGTTTTCCGAAATAAAAACTTTTCGGGTTTTCTGTAAATTTTCTCTAAATAAACCTCAACTTCAATCAATATATCGTAGAGAGGTGAAAATTAGGAGTTGTTTGTATCTTTGTATGATGTATCATAAAAAAAATATATCTAAAAACTTAAAATGGAGATGTACCACCCTTAACATTTAGGGGTTTGAAAAATTCGATTTCGATCCGATTGTCAGAGTTACTGAATATGCATCAAAATTTTCATAAGAATCGGTCGAGTCGTTTCGGAAGGGTATGGGAACGAACATTGACACACGAGAATTTTATATTACAAGGCAAATTTTTGGTATATCAATAGGTTTTAAGGTTCTTTAAAATTTTTACGTTTACGTGAAAAGTAGCCTTTGTCCTTTCTTAGTTCTTGTTAAACTAAAATAACTCACCAAAAATTTGACGGTTTGGCGGTTTAAAAAATATTTTTTTTCTATGTACGAATTCCTATACAGGTATTTCCAGCTGCCAATGCAGACCTGGTTATGCACGAAGAATACATCGTGACCCATGTCGCCGTGTGGTCTCTTTATTAATGGAACTGAGGGTGGATCGATTGTATGATAGAAAGGTAGGTTCAACAGGTCCTTGGCCCCTGACCCTATCAAATAGAGGATTTAATGAAAAATCTTAGTCACACATAGTAATCCAAGTGTCATGTCTAGAGTTCATGGCAGCTAACATAAATAATTGGTTTATTAACAAAATTATCAACTGTTCTATGCATTCACTGAAATAAGCTTTTTCTTAAAAGGCAAGTTGGTGATCAGCCTTCTGAGGCACGAGGGTCTGATGCCAATATGTTTACTTTCGAGTGTTGGACATAAAAATCGGAAGTCAAATTGGTTCGGAAATAATTCAGTGGGGAGCTGGTTCCACATGGTGGAAGTCAATTAAGTCAAAGTTTAGGTAACACAATGTACAATAATGAGCGTTAAAAAAGAAATATTAAATGCTTCTAATTTTAAATGTACAGTCTTGATTCGAGAATCAAGGGAAGAGAAGAACTGGCAATAAACTCACCGCCACTCTTTTTAATCGCCTAGTTTTTTGTTTTACACAATGTTTGTAAGCTGCAACCACTACACCATGTTCCACATGACATCTTAAGTAATTAATAATAATAAAATAAATTAAAAACAAAGAATTGTCAAAGGGGTTATTTAGTTTTTAAGTTTACGCAATATGTGTCATGGTTATGCGTCATATAGGGTGTAAAACTTTTTAAAACATTTATTAATACAGGTAATCTGGGATGTAAAGCTGATGGACAAAGATTCGGAGCCCTACCAACAACTAAGCTATGAAGCTGTCAGAGCAGTAAGTAATAATAATAATAAACATTTATTCATCCACACCTTAAATGCGCAAATAGAAAGTCCATTGGTGCACACCCTGGGTTCTTCATCTCAGGGAGACACGCAGACTCCATTAGGCCAAAACTGCTCAAAAACATAATATAGAAATATTAACTAGGTCCTTACCTCCATTTTACTGTTTTTTTAGATCGACTCGGCATTTTCGATGACTCCATTTTCGGATGACTTTGTGTCGGGTTCAGTTAATGCCATACACAAGGGAGAAGAAAATCAAGTATTTGTCAACTATACAATATTGGTAAGTGAGGTTTCATTATCGTATAGGGTGATTTTTTTATTAAGAATATGGTTTGTTTGGTAGGTGTATCGTTTGTAAAATAGGTGTATGATATGTTAAATAGGTGTATGGTTTGTTAAATAGGTGTATTGTTTGTTTAATGTGTGTATGGTGTGTTACATATGTGTGTGGTTGGTTAAATACGTGTATGGTTTGTTAAATCGGGGTGTTGTTTTTTAAACATGTGTATGTTTGTTAAATAGGCGTGTTGTTTGTGTAACATGTGTCTGGTTTGTTAAATAGGAGGTCATAAGTAATTACTTTCAGATGCAAGAAACAGGGGAGACACTCCGTGCGGCTGTCGCGACAGACATACAAAAACACATATTGGGTGTTATACGTCGTCGATCGAATAATGTGGGTACTTCAGCGCTATGGGTCGATTCGCCTGCGGGTAGTGTCCTACCGCTCGAAGGTATGTGACTTCACTGAGACATTGAACATTACGATCTAGTCCAACTAACTAGTAATTTATTTACAACCTTATTGACTAATAATAGTAATATATACCAGACGCCAATTTAAATCTTTTATTAGCGCATGTGCACTTGAACCCCACGGCTCCCCAGTCTCTACTCCAAGCCCCAGCTTATTTGCGTGTCCGAGAGAGGCGAGACGGGCCAACGTGTCCACACAAGTAGCATCCCATATATCCCATCCCATCAATGATATCTCATACGGCTACTTGCCATTTGTTGCATAATAATTTTCTAACAAATAAATTAAATTAAAATTTCAGATGTAAATTAAAATTTCAGATGTGGATGAATGTTCAGTCCCGGAGCTGAATGATTGCCACAAATTGGCCTCTTGCACTAACACATGGGGCGCTTTTAAGTAAGTATTAGTGTATAATTTACACTATAAAAAATTTTTAAGGAATGACATTGTTTTTTAGGAATATGTATAAACATTTCAATAGTTAATTATATTTAATCATTACACAATTCAAACGCATGGTCACGATAATTGGAGAACTATTCTCACTATATAGTGTAGTAGATTTTAAAAATGGTTGTTTTCAGATGTACCTGTCCAGAGACAACACTTGACCCTGCAGTGACCGTAACCCGGTCGGGTCGAGATTGTCGCGAGTGCAGCTCGTCGCATTGCAACGAGCGCGGTGTCTGTCGGTATAATAATGGACAGCCTTACTGTAGGTGAGATAAAAACCGGTATTACAAGAACGGCATAATTAAAGTTTTAATTCAAAAAGATATTACAAATTCAGATTTGCAATGTGAAAAAAACCGGTAAATGAAAGTTCCTTTGATTAAATATAGGCTTAAATGATACTTGATATGATGACTAGTAAAAACTGGTGAATTGTAAATTCAGATTCGTAAAGATTAAAAAAATCGGTATTTTATTTAAAAACCGATTCGTAAAGTCTACTCATGAAAACCGGTAAACTTGAAACATTCACCCTTTAACACACCTGATGTCATAACACAGTATTTTTTAATTTTAGCTGTTCCAGCGGTTACTACGGATCCTCCTGTGAAGTTGACGGTGAAGTCGTGGGCGTGGCAGTGGGCGCGTCCCTCGCAGCCGCACTTGTCATTGCCCTTACCCTAGCTGCTCTTACTGCTTGGAGGTGAGTACGAGGAGGGGACCTAAAAACCGGTGAACGTATTCCAGTCTAGCTTGCTTGGCAAAGTGTTTAGGTTTTCGGCTGTTCATGCATGCCGATAAAATGTAAAAAAAAGAGCAGTGTTGACCTATACCTCAAACTACCTTTTTAGGTCTGGGCCTCAGACGGATATCTGTTTCATGATCATTTGTCATATAGGCAAGGAGGTGATCGGCCTCCTGTGACTCACCGCCGTGTTGTTAAAGCACGATTCCTCACGATGTTTCTCTCTTCTCTCTTCTTCGTACGAGCGAACGTTAAATGCGCACATTAAAAGTCTATTTGTGCACAGCCGTGGTTCTCCCTCTTAGGGATGAGGGACATGCTGAAGCCACTAGACCAACACCTCTTCCAATAGCAACTGACCTGGAAAAAGTACAGATGCTGGAGACCGTCCATGAATAAATATTTAAATTGAATTTCAGCCGCAAATGGAGCCGCGAACAGAAGGCAATGGGTATGGGGTCGCCCGTGTTTAACTATATGACGGCCAATACTGTGAAGACGCCCCCAGTGGGCCAACCGCCTTATCAGGTATGTACCAAGCCGAAGTGGAATGATGGAGTAGGGTAGCCGTAGAAAAATAATAATAAAAATCTAAGTTAAGTATTTAAAATGGTAGCCATTTATGTGAATTATTTTTATACACCCTTTGATGTTCTTTCATTACTATTCAACCGTAATGAAAATGAACTATTTAAGTGACATTAAAAAAATTGGTAATAATTTAGAAGTACGTCGCCCGACTAAATATAAATATTACAAATATTAAATATACTAATCTTAATATATATATATTTCTTCTGTGCGTGTGTATGTGACTGAACTCCTCCTAAACGACTGGACCGATTTTGATGAAATTTTTTGTGTGTGTTCAAGGGGATCTGGGAATGGTTTAGATTCACAAATCAGCCCGGCAGATGGCACTGCAGTCGGTACTTTCATACTTTGCTTAATATCCTAATCGCTTTAAATATCATGCAGGACAACGTCTGTGGGGTCCACTAGTATTACTATAAATATTTAAAACATTTTGATTTCAAGGAATTCTCCGCAGCAAAAGCGATAATTTAATTTAATAATAAACCAGCAGCAGCACATGAAAGAAAAACAAAAGCAGTATAGCCAAATAAACAGTAACTCGGCAGATCAGCGAAGTGTTTTATTTATAAACATATTTCATAGCTTTAATTAGATTCGTAAAGGGTCTTTTTTATATTTAATATGTATTGACAAACAATCATATGCTTTCCAGAAGTCAGTATGGATGGTAGTGCCAACTTCTACATGTTTTTGTATAAGTGGCAGTCTTCTATCATATTACCATACCAATTGGGTCATTGGTATGGCCCTCAATATGTCGTAGTAGATTTTTAAGATGTGTGATATGCAGCCCTTTTAAAGCACAGGTATTGAATAAAATGCCTGTGCTTTGTTACAGCGGGTGGGGGCTGCTCTCCCTCCGCACCTACAGGCTTTAAATAACACTCTAGCGGTAGAATAGATAACAACGGTTGAGGTTGACTGAATCGATGTTGTCATAAAGGCGGCCTCAACCAAGTATTGTTGGCCTAGTGGCTCCAGCGTGCGACTCTCATCCCTGAGATCGTAGGTTCGATCCGGCTGTGCACCAATGGACTTTCTTTCTATGTGCGCATTTAACATTCGCTCGAACAAATATGAATTAATAGTGTTATAAAACAATTATCTTGATTGTATTTTCATTGCCCAAATTTTGATTCATCAATCTGGACTATCTTCCCTGAGCTACCATTCTTCCTTTTGATTTTTATCCATTTGATAAATAACTATAGTTTCCCTGCAATAATTATACCAATAATTTATGGTGGCTTTTGCATTGTTGTCTATTTTCTTTATAAGGGTCTTCATTAATGGCTGTGTTGTAGCTCCAATTTTGCGAATGTGTATATAAAAAATTGAACACTACTAAATGTATTTTAATATTTACGAAAAACTTTCCTGTACTTCTGGGAACTTTCGATTTCGCTTTGCGATTACCTTTCGTACAACACCATGAACAAAATGTTTTATTCGCTGATTTAGCGATTTCCATGATAACACGATGTGTTCTACATTGCTTTTGCGAATGCACTAATCCGTTTTCTTCAGCGAATGACACTGCTCATTAGTACTGAAATTTTTATTAATTTTGTCAAATTCCACATCATGACCACTCCAGTACAGAGGTGACGATCGACAACGGGCCCATCGACCTCAAAGTCATCCACAAAAGCCGGTCTTCTACCTAGCATAGAACTCGTAGACAGCTCAGGTTCTGGATCATGTCCTCATCCACTATTGCCAGCAGCCATCACGAGCTGTGATCGCGAGAAATCAGTGTCCAGTATGTATGCCAAGGTCGTACAGTCAAGGTCCAAAAATATAGCCAAGTTTCCAGAAACTCCCAACTAAATAAACGCAGAAGCACATTCACGTAAACTTGAAAGTAACGGAATGAATCTGTCTGTGTCATTTCTGTTGATATCTATATTCAAAATGGCGGTTTGCTTTTCGTTACACATGTTCTCAAATACACGCTACTTGAAATATTATAATAATTAATAGAAAAGAATAAAATTTACGTTTCGTTTAACGAATTTCAATACAAAATTATATTTTTTTTTTAATACTTAGACGCAACTTCGGCAGCCAAAATTACTTGGAGGGGTTCCAATTAAGGTTCCCCAACTTACCTACATAATCAGTATCATCAAATTCAGGCGACGTATTTCTCAATCCAAGCCAAAAATGTATTTTGAATAGTTATAGTGAAAATACTAAATAGACATAAAAAAAAATTTGAATTCCGGGTGGTATGGTTCTAGATCCTATCTCTTGCATTTTAAATATTTAATACCTGTCAACATTATTTATTCATCATGCATGGATATCTCAAAGAAATTGAACTACTACTGAACCGATTGTTATGAAATTTGGACTTTTCAGTTAGAATATACCTATTTAAATAAAAGTTAACGGTCTCAGAAATAACTTTTTTTTAAATATATAGAAAAGGAGAAAAAGGAAATCGCCTGATGTTAAGTGATACGCCGCCCATGGAAACTCTCAATGCCAAAGGACTCGCGAGTGCGTTGCCGGCCTTGTAAGAAGAATATACTGGCTGAATAGACTTTGAAACTGCTTAAAGATATCTGTTTCGTTTTCTATCTATATCTATCTATTTTTTTCAGGTGACACTGGAAGAGAGAATGCGTTGGGCTCAAATTGCTGAAGCGATGGCTCAAGCCAATCACTATGCTGTAAGTGAAAAAAAAACAAAAAAAAAGTTTTTGTTTCTAACATTTTATGAAAATTAAATATTTTGTTGATATATATTTTTATATTCATAATATTTTTCAACTTTCGCAGACCCGACACACGTCCTGTACGTACACAGGTCTTAGATACAAAAGTTATCTAATTGTAAATACAAACCATTTTCGAAACCGCTTTAAAATTTATCAAAATAGTTCCAGCTGCTTAAGAGTTTATTTACAAATATACGCACAAAAGATTTTCTCTATGTACGTTTTTTGAACAAAAATTAAAAAAAAAAGAAAACCGTGTTGCAACGTGCGGCCTTTTTTGAAAAATAATGAACGGCTCAAAGAGCTTTAAGTTATAATAGCTTTTTTATAATTAACACTAGCTGACCCGGCAAACGTTGTTTTGCCATGGATATTATTTCTAGGAAACATTTTTTTAGTTCAATAACAATAACTTTATAATATAATAAAAAATGGGGGTTGATCGTAGAGGGGTGAAAATTAAGGGTTGTATGTATTTTTGTATGCTGGATCATAAATCACTTAGCGGTTTGAAAGAAAGTAGCCGATTCTCAGACTTACTGAATATGCATAAAGAATCGGTCGAGCCGTTTCGGAGGAGTATGGGAACGATCATTATGACACAAGAATTTAATATATTAGATTTGTATTTTTACAAATTATTTATTTATTTTTGTTTTTTATGGAAAGTGAAAAGAGATTAAATTTTTCCATTTTTTTTTATTTTCAGCAACCAGACCCAGTCCAAATGGCGACACGGCCCTCTTCTGCTATGTTCGGATACCCCACTTTGCCGCCAGTACCATTACCCAGGTAATTTGTAACTCATGTACAATTTTTGAGGACACAAATAAAAATAAAATTATTTAAAAACGATTTAATTTTTTTAAGTCCACTAGTGGCGCTACAACCTTTTTAGGTCGGGGCCTCAGATTGCTGTATCTGTTTCATGATAATTTGTCAATCAATTAGACAAAAATGTCAGCCTCCTGTGCCTGACACACTAGTAAAAAAAAACGCCACTAATCATAGAAAAAACTAAAATGTTGATTATAGCTAACTTCAGGGTGTCGGTTTTTTGTGACGGCGTGCTCGCGCATCGTAAAAATTTACTCTTACAATTTTTCCCTAATGTGCCAAAAAAAGTATAACTTCAAACATATTTAATTAAAAATAATTATAAACCTTTACACGGATTTAAGGATTTTAAGACATACATAACAAAGGTTCTATTTAAAAAAACTGATTGGATTTGTTTTAAATAAGAGAGCAAATGAACCTACTGGTTCATAAGGGCATAAGTTATTGCAGGCCATGGGAACTGATTTTAGTGTGTTGCCGGCCTTTGACTGAGGAGTATGCACTGTTTTAAATCAATCGGAGGTAGATTCCAAAAGACTTAGGAGAAAGAAAGAAATAGCATTTTTTTAAATATTTATAATCGAAATCGTAACAAAATACGAATTTATTTGAAAAAAATATTTGATTTTCAGAATGGGTTTACACGGAACGATGAATACAGTCAATTCAAGGATTAATTCTGCTTCTCATCACAATCTGTATGGTATGTATAATAATATATATACACAATAATATATATTCACACTTTTTAGCAAAAAAAAGTGCGTGCGTACAAAGTACACAGGTCAGAAGTGAAACTTTTTTGTAAATTAATTATTGAGTAATTAAGTTGCCTAAATCCCATAATTTAATTTTGCCAGTCTTTCTATATTAACTAATGATACTAAGGCTAATTAAAAACCTGAACTAAAATTAGTTGTCGTTATGTATATAGAAATACAACCATAAATATGGTAACAATTACCAAATAATATAACAAAGTCATTATTATCATAATTGCTAAGTTATGTCCACATTTTCTAAAATAGCAAACTGGGTCTTAGCAAAAAATGTCTTGGTTCTGTGCCGTTATAAAAATACACTTAATAAAGTAATAATGATATTGATATCTATCGGTCTCAATCGCTGTCTCCCTTTTCTTCGACAAAAACGCTGCACATCTTCGTGACGTTCCGTAAAAATTGACCCTCATGCGTCTTGTTGTTGTTACGAGGGAACTTCAAAAAACTAATTAATTACACTTAAATTTAGAGTACACGAACTACATGGCATGGGAGTCGAATTGAATTGATAATCATTTTTTATTTCTTACACTTAGGGCACTTTAAAAATTTGTACGATTTTTTTTGCGATTTTCTTAATTTTAAATTAATAAAAATCAGGTTACACTAACCACATGGCGTCAGAGTCCAGCTCCGACGCGTCGAGTCACGTACAAGATCGCGCCGATCTTTTGGTCCCAAGGCCCAAATCCCGCGCCAGGAGTATGCATGTAAGTATAAAAGGGGTTTGGGGGTTAAAGAAACTAAGACATGGCTAACATTAAATTCGGGAACAGAATCAAAGCCTCATCCATATTTTTCCATTTCTCTTTGTCAATCCAGTCCATCTCTTCCGTCGTCCTATACATCTCTTTCCAGTAGGTCCTGTCCATTCTGTTTCATGTGTCTATCTTTTAGGCTGAAATAACCACCAATTGTAAATTAATTAAATTATTTCATGGTTTAATTATTACGAAATAATAAAATCTAAACACCTTGATTTTGCCAAATGACCTTGCAACAATAAATCCTTCAAGAAAAGAGCCTACCGATTCTTAAAAGGCACACAGCGCACTTGCGAGCCTCTGGCGTTGAGAGTGTCTATAGGCAGGTCACTTAACATCTCACATATATACAGGAACATTTGTCCTTGGAGCGAAGAATTGAACTACCAGGTCACTTTACATCGACAAAAAAAACAAAACAAAAATGATTATTGTGTCTTAAATTGTTTACATTAAATACATGACTTGAGACAGCCCCCGTAAGTAGTCAGAGACACTTGTGTTGACTCGCTACTTCCCTTATTTATACAATATTTAGATAGTTGTTTGAAAAGAGTACAAAACAAAACCCAGCTAAGAAGCAAAGCTGGTAAAAAATTAAATAAAGTGTAATTCTCATAGTTTCTCTGAACATTCTATGAACTTATTCTATTCGTGTTTGTGTGTGTATGTGCGCATGTGTGTGTGCTGCATGTGTGTGCTGTGTGTGTGTGCTTGTTGTTAATTATATAATTATGTATCGACATCTCGATTTTCTACTGGTTTCTTTTTTCTCGTTTCTTTTCTACAAAGTCCAGGGAAGTTGCAATTTCCCAGCAGTAGATGGCGATAATAATTTGGGAGTTATGGAAGTCAGAAGAAGTTTAAAGTCATTGTATTTTTTTTTCAGAACCAAACTGGAATCTACTATGATGTTGAATATGAAAATGCACCAGAACCGATTTATGGGTCGAAGGGTATACCACTGTCGACGTATACAGTTAGCAGGGGACCGCCGTTCTATAGATAATTTGGAATATTCTGGAATTTCTCTAGCTGGAATTGTTTAACACTGGATAATTTATATCAGCTAGTAGTTTATTTGCAATTTGAAAACACACTGAAGTTTTATTAAAATCTGGATTTTCTTTAACATTATCAGGAAATTTGTAACAATATATTATAATTTTATACTAGAGAGTACACATAATATTTTGCACTTTTAAAACATCAATATTAATGATTTAACATAATAATATATGGAATTATTCAAAACAAACTAAAAACAATTTTGCAGCTGGATATTGATACAGCTATTTTTCATATAATGTGAAATATTTAAGTATTTTTTCCACCTTAGAGTTGAATTTTAATTTAGTACTTATACTTATATTATAAGTACTTTTTTTTAGAAGAAAAAAAATGTTGTAATGTTCATACTTTGCCACTTTGGCTATTTTTTTGTATATTGTATAAAACTAAATTATTATAATTTTTTACATAAATGCTCAGTTTTTTAAAATAAATTTTGATAGTGTAAGACTGTAACATCGACTATTTGTGATTTTTTGTAGTTTAAGAATTATATGGGAACATAATATACTGTACGAAATAATATTACTGTAATATGTATTCAAAGAATTACCAATATATTCCCTTAGTATGGAGGAGGCGTAGGGCTGTACTCGCCTTTTCAATCTGGATCCTGTAACACAATCCCTCGTTAGCGGTGTGCGTAGACCCATTCGGGGCTGTACCCCCTTCGGGTGGTATGTTAAATCAAACCCTGTGGATTCAGGGCGCCGGGCGGCACGACTTTAGTGATGATACAAGGGCTATATCCTTGCTATGTTTCGCTATCGCGTTTTAAACTTACTATCAGTGAGTACAACGCCATCTGTCGATGAATATAAAAACTAAATTTTCCATTTATACACAATATGTGTCTATTGTTTATTTAAACAAAAATTGCTGCTTCGATGCTTAAAATAGAAGATTATTAATGTTTTTAGTTTGTACAGACATTGTAATGTCTTATTGAAACTAAAAATTTCCGTTTTATATTTTTATAATTAGACGATTTATAAGTATCAAAATGGATGTATTCTTTGTAATCATAGTTATATCGACATCACGGTGTTAAAGTCAAAACGGACATAAATATGTCTGTTTTAATTACGTTGTCTGAAATAGACACAAAAGTGTATTGAGAAGCAAATGTTAGCAGACAAAAATATGTCTTTATGATAGGATTTACGGTTAATGACTGTTTGGCGTTATGTAAATATTATTATAGCCAATATAAGTAACAAAAACCTAAGAAAAAATATATAATATCTGTATGTAAAGAATAAACTATAAAACAACGATTTATTTTTCCCTTTCATATGCAAATTGTTAAAAAATAACTCCATTATAAAGATATATGAAGAACTCAATTTCATAATAACAACTTTCAAGACGAGTATTCAAAGATATTTTATCATATTAATACGTAAATGTATTTTATTAGTTTTTTTACAATTGTTAAACCTTTACCATGAATAAAAAAAACTATTTATTGTGTAATTAAATCTATAAAAATCAAAACTTGTTGAAATAATAAAATGCGGCCTTATTTTGTGATTTCCAATAGCTATTTAGACGTTTTTGTATGCAAGTTCGATGTTTAATATCCGTAGCGCAGATGTAACTTTGGGATCGCGGAACAAAACTGCTATGAATATATGGCGCTATTTTTAAAAATAAAATTTTGTGGGTTTTTGTTACAATAAAGTCATTTAGTTATTAATTATGCATTTATTTGTATAATAAGGGGTGTCTCAGTAAGAGTGCACTTTTTCATTTTTAAATAAAGACAAGTATTTTATGACAGAGTTCTGATATTTTTATTGTATTGTAAAGAAGACATGTTCCGATTAAGTATGGAATAAAATATCCGGCAAATGACCTCCACGGCTCCGATGATAGGCCATTACACTCTTCATGAAATTTTCCATGACTTTTTCACAGAGATGTGGCTGTATCTCACCGATGACGCGTTGGATTTTCGATTTAAGCTCAGGAATGGTTTCGGGTTTATTCGCATAAACTCGAGATTTCACAAAACCCCAAAGAAAAAATCGTACGGCGTTAAATTGCACGATCTTGGTGGCCAGTTGACATCAGGATTTCGTGAGATAATGTGTTCTGTTCATCGGAGAAAATGAGTTTTTACGAAAAATTGGCATCGACTTCCCTTTGCTCCATTACTCATTGAACAAATTGCCGGTGCCTTCCTTGGTCTGCTGGTTTGAGCTCCTGAGTTAACTGAATCTTGTACGCATGAAGGTCTTTAGTCAAAATTTGCTAAGTCGAATTGATGTTTTCGGGTATTCGGCGACACTCTCGTTTACAGCAGCAATGTTTTCAAGGGACCGACCGGTACGTTGACGCAAAGGATTCCTATTATCCATACGTAATTGACCCAGTTTCTTCAAATTTTTTGACCACTCTTCGAATGGTTGACACATTAGGTGCACTTTCTCGGCTGAAAATTTGGTGAAGTTTGCGAGCGTTTTCAGCGTTACTTTTGTAATGAGTTTTCACAATTATAACGAGTTGTTCTTTCGAAAAGCGCTCCATTTTTAATAATCGGAATAAACAGAGGTGTCACCTGTCAAATTTCAGAGTTGCCACTTGCAGGAAAACCAAAAATATTACAATTTTAAAAAGTGCACTCTTACTGAGACACCCTTTATAAGTTTATTTTAATAAATATATATGATATACGTTTGTTTTTATTATATTTAATCATGGTGCCTATAGATTTCTGTTCTTGTTACTATGCCATTTGTGGAAAGTCGGTTACCTTGTATGATTTAAAAAACCCTGACATTAAATAAAAGAAGGTATTTAAATAAAAACACTCAATATATATAAAATTATTTAATAAATGCACATATCAGTCTAAAATAAATAATTCAATGTAATATTAACCACAAATAGATTGTGAATAAATTATTAATTCCATCATCATTATATTATGGAGAACATAACATTAAAATTGAGTACTAACCTTTAATTAAAATTAACTATTGTTTTAACTGTAAAATCTATTTAATTTGAACAAGCGCCATTATTAATTCGTTAATCAAACAGAACATTATTAATTGTTCAGTCCCTAAAACCCTTTCACAATAATTTAAACTAAAAAAATGCTATTTTTGACATCAGCGCCACCTAGTGGAAAGTGTTCGTTCTAAGATAACAATTGTTTAGAACGTTGTAATTAAACCTGTAGCCGGCCTCGGGCACATCATTGGTCACCAAATTGTCGCTGTGGAAGTGCACATATATCGGTCCAGGGGGCGTCGCTGCAAACAATATGACCCAATTAACATAGTATAGGCAGCGGCACGTAAGTCTAGCGCTGGCCGATACGTGGAGGGGATTGCTGCGCATGTGTACTGTCGCGCGGGGGACGGAATGCGACTGAAGAGCCAATCGACGCTACGCGCGCCTGCTAGCCCCCCTCAGGTACCTTATTTTTTACTTCTGCGCAATAACGGTCAGCGCTAGAGTTTCGTGCCGCTACTTGTATGTTACATTCTTTATGTTATATAGATATATACATCGAACTACAAAAAAATTAGCAATAGTTTCTTTTATAAAATCCAGCAAAATTAACCATTTTACGGTTATTTAATTTTATCTCGGGAATCGAACTGGAGACTTCATTCTGACTCAGAAGTCTGGCTGCAAAAATAGGATTGGAGACCCCTAACCCTTAAATTATTTTCCAAAATGGAATTTTCAGTCAAAAAGTCCAATAAATGTATCAGTGAAACCAAATATTATCAAACTGGAAACTTCGTCCGGACTACCTGCAGGCCTTGCAGATTGGAGCCCCTGGCCTCAAATTATTTTCCAAACCAAGTAAGAATTATTTTATTATTAAAGTATATTTTGTGGGAGGAGCTTCAGATTCTCTTCCCTAAATCCGGGGCTGTCCGTTCGCCTAAAGACTTACATGCAATAATTTGGTTGGAAGCGCTAAGGCCACAATACTTGGAACCCCTAAGGCCGTCAGCAGTTTCCGCTTCAGGTATGAAAAGGTAGTCTTCAGACTGACTGGAACCTTGGGTTACTGGATTCATCTGACAGTCAGTGTCCAAGTACATGTTGTCTTCCGTCCGGTATGCCATTTCGAAGCTAGCAGCTGTTAATCTGGATTTTGGGAAAATATCTTGTTTTGAATATAACTCAAAAACTACTGCGCCGATTTTGGTGAAAGTTTGATTTGACTGTCCATGGGCGGCGGTATCACTTAACATCAGGTGAAGTGGTGTTAATTAAAAGGCCAGCAGCGCACTCGTGAGCCATCTGCTATTACGTCATACATTAATAATTTAAGTTAGCTGTAGGAACAAAATTAAATAAATCAGTGGCGCTACAACCTTTTTTAGGTCTGGTCCTCAGACTTCTGTATCTGTTTCATGATCATCTGTCTTATAGGCAAGTAGGTTATCAGCTGTGCCTGACTCACACCGACTTTTTGGGACTAAGGCACGATTAAGCACCTCACGATGTTTTCCTTCGTACGAGCGAATGTTAAATGCGCACTTAGAGAGTCCATTGGTGAACAGCCGGGGTTCTACGACCTCAGAGATTAGAGACATGCTTGCTAGTAGCTACAGTGTTGGCTAGACATAGTAGCCAACACTGTAGGAATGCGAAGTATAGGTATGTTGGAATAATAAATATGTTGGCAGATCCCTTCTAGACTCCGTAGACACAAACCCCAGTGTAGAAATGCACTTTATTATCAAATCTTTTCTTGACACAAGTGTTATAGGTCCATATAATATACACTTACTTAATCCCACAGACGTCAGAAGTACGCTTGAAGCACGTCGCATACGCAAGATTGGCGATGTATGGTCCAGCGCCGCGGTTGTAATTAAATGATTCAAAGAATCCTGTTCGGTCTGGGTAGTACTGCAGACAACCAGGTGGCGCTAAAATAAATTAATTTTGTCGGTAACAGGTTGCTTTTTCCTTTAATATTTGAGACAGTGCCAGTGTGTGTTTTCCCCCTCTAATTTAGGGGTAATTAATCCAGGGAGTACTTTATATATAATACTAGTGGACCCCACAGACGTTGTCCTGCATGATATTTAAAGCGATTAGGATATTAAGCAAAGTATGAAAGTACCGACTGCAGTGCCATCTGCCGGGCTGATTTGTGAATCTAAACCATTCCCAGATCCCCTTGAACACACACAAAAAATTTCATCAAAATCGGTCCAGTCGTTTGAGAGGAGTTCAGTCACATACACACGCACAGAAGAAATATATATATTAAGATATGTTGTACTATATATCGCTTGCCCCGGGGAACAAAGTAGTAAAAATTAAATTTTTTTTTTCGGGAAAAGTTAAAGAAAGTATTGTTTTTGTTATATTTTGATGTTATTAAAATAAATTAATATCAACTGCCAACTGTCAAAGATATAATGACAACTGTCAAGTAAAGATGTTCAATCTGGGCAAGTAGAGCACCTATACCCAGTATATATAATTTCTTACCTATTAAATACTCGTCCCTATCAGCTGAAGAACTGAAGGGCGTGGCTGGTAGAGAAGATGTTATTGCTTCAAGGAAACCATCTCGGTATTTGCTAAAAAAGATGAATTTATACATATACAATATAAACAGCTGAAGACAGGAAGATATTGTTTATGGCACAATTTAGAATTAGGAATAATCAAGATACATAAAACATAAAAATTATATAAAAAGGCCGACAACACACGAGCCCTTTGGCATTGAGTATCACTTAACATCAGGTGATTCTCTTAGCTCCCTGTTCTATAAAATTAAAACGCCGGCAACGCACTCGGGAGCCTTCTGGCATTGAGAGTGGCCATGGGCGGCTTGGCCCTTGTTCTAAATAAAAGGCCGGCAACGCACTCGCGAGCCGTCTGCCATTGAGAGTCTATATCCGGTTAGCCCCTTTCATCCGTGTTCTATAAAATTAAAAGGCCGGCACTTGCAAGCCCTCTGACATTGAGAGTGTCCATGGGTGTCTCCTGCCCGTTCCTCTTCCTCCAAAAAGTCCCCCAAAGCGTCAAGTTTGTCCTGTCTCCTGTCATTCATGTTTGATAAGTGTGTGTTTGAATATTATGTCTGAGAGCTTAAAAGAATTACCCCAAAGTGTTGAAGCACTCCAGCTGGGTGACTTTGATCTTCCAGGTCGCTTGAGGAAGGTTTGGTTGTGTGTTTCTGTCAGCAATTTTGAAGTTCAAACGGATGGATCTGCTGTTAGTGGACGCGTTCACACGGACATACACTGAAAAAATACAGAAGATTTCAAAGTCATTCCAAACGGCTGCGGTGTATTGTTTGAAGTGTTAAAATTCCTACTGATGGGATGGGGTATAGATGATATTTGTGTGGACACGGTAGCCCTGTCTCACCTCGGACAAGCACACAAGATGGCGCGGCCGGCAGAGCAGGAAAATAATCAACCGCAAAAAGAGTATTTCCTCTGATAGAAGAAAGGAGGCTGCAGCTGAAAACCAGAAGTTGGCGGGAGGTAGCACAAGACAAGGAGCGCTGGAAAATTCTCATTTCGGAGACAAAGACACTTTTTGGGTTGCAGAGGCAGCGGAGTCAGTAAGAGTCGGATGGAGACAGAGTGGAGGATTTAATGTAACAAACACATGCTGGATTAATTCTCTCACCATTACGATGAACATAGACTGTAGAATTTCAAAAATAAGAGAAAAGGTAACCCACAAAAAAATTACAAAATTCCAATGCACTACAGTTTTATAGAAGACGTCAATATCTACAAAAAAGTTTTGCATTTAAAAGTCTTTAACGAAAGCTTTAGAACAAATTGTGCTTAAAATATCAATATATACATACTATGTTGTGCATTATTATCGCCACATAGTGGTGGTAGGATGTCGGAGTTTGCGTGTAGGTTCGTCACTTGGAATATATCGTTTCTACAGGTGTAACCAGGCCGATGTGTCACATTTTCCACTGCTTCCACCTGGAATTAACAAAAATTTACCCATATTTTACACACGAAAACGTAAAGAAATAGGACAAAGAGCACAGAAGGCTGATCACCAGCTACTTGCCGGGGATAGCGCCGTGGATTCATTTACAAACATACACTATATATCATTAATAATATATTTTTCATTCATATAGCTAAAATCAATTAACAAAATTTATAAATAAGCTCTTAATTTGTCCCCAACAATTTTAATATTAATTATTTAAGTCAATTAACATTAAAGCATAAAATAATATATAACTAAAATCTTCATCTCTTGATGACTACTGGTACTCTATCTATTATTTATAACTACATATATGTATTAAAATCCGTTAGCTGAAGAAGCAGCAGCAGAAGATTGCAAGCTACATATCTTTCGCCGCGTCTATATAAACATAATTATCTCATCAACTACCGAACGGATTTTGATACAGTTTTCATTTACAGATAGAGTGATTCTTTATGAACGTTTTTATGTTAATTGACTGTTAAAAACAATTATTAAACAGGTCACTTGAAATATAAGAACTTTAATCAAATTTATTAACAGTATTTTCTTAACTAAATAACTAAATTAATTAATTTATTACTGGTAGCGTGTCGTAATATGTCAGCTTACGAACTTTCAGTCAATCTGTTATCATACTTACGGTAGTTGGTGGAGCCAGGTTAAACGTCTCGAAGTCAATTCGTATTTGACATACATTATTATTATTAATTTCCACGTTATAAGAACATTCCAGTCCTGAGGATTCCCGATTCAATGGAGGGTTTATGAATACAGCTACTTTTGTGTTCGTTCTTATGTCGCAAGCGTTTACTAAAAATAAAATAAAATTGTACAACCGAGAAATTTAAGGCACTTTACTTTGTGGACTTAGGGTCCTTCAAGATCGTGCCAATTCTTAAAAGGCAGCACTCGTGAGCATTTAGTGACCATAGGTGATTTAAGATTTTGTATCAGATTTTGTATTGGCAAAAATTTAATAAGCTGTTTCGAGTTTTAAATACTAGAAATTTCTATAGAAGTATTCTTTTTGTACTTTGATTGTTTTATAATCAGATTTATATTCCATAACTTTCAATAGCTATACGTTTTTGAATACAATTTCGGAAGATCAGAAGAAAGAAAGATTAAAAACTGCTTATTATAAGTTACCTTTAAAATACTTCACATGAAACAAAAAATACTATAAAATATATCAAACTTATGTAGGACAGATTAAATACATAATAAATATATGTCAGTATTAATCTAATATGTATAGAGATTTATCACGAATAAATAATTCAAAATAAAATTTGATTGTACCGAGATGGCTAGGTAGCTCTATAAACAACAGCCAGATCAATGCAACCAATGAAATATATATCAACTTGATGTAGGACAAATTAATGAATTAATATACGTATAAATATATAATAAACCTATGGCACCATACATTTAATATGTCATAGTATATCTGTCGCAGCCAATCAGCTTAACTAGCCGTTCAATTAACAGCCTAGCCGTTTAACTAGCGGCCTGAAAGATGTTCAGCCAGTTGATCAAACAGCTAGGCAAATGACTTGAATCAATGATAATTCATTACATGCCTTTCCTGTTTATTTCTATTCCTGTTTAGTTCCACTTTCTGCCACCGTCAATATAGCGTCGGTAAATAACTAAGAGTTGGATTTAGAAACACGTCGCCTGAATTTGATGATACTGATTACGTAATATGTAGGTATCTCGGGGGAGCTTGATTGGAACCCCCCCAAGTAATTTTGACTACCGGAGTTTCGTCGAAGTATAAAAAAATAAAATATAATATTGTGTATTATATTGGAATTCGTTAAACGAAACGTACATTTTATACTTTTCTATTAATTATTATAATACTTCAAGCAGCGTGTATTTCAGAACATATTGTGAAACGAAACGCAAACCACCATTTTGAATGTAGATTTTGAAAGAAATTACACTGACAGATTCATTCTGTTACTATCAATTTTACATGAATTTGCTTCTGCATTTATTTTATTTGGATTTTTGGAAACTTGGCTATATTTTTGGACTTTGATTGAATTGCTTTTCTGTACGACCTTGGCATACATACTGGACACTGATTTCTCGCGATCACAGCTTGTGATGGCTGCTGGAAATAGTGGATGTGATCCAGAACCTGAACCGTCTACGAGTTCTATGCTTGGTAGACGATCAGCTTTTGTGGGTGACTTTGAGGACGATGGGCCCGTTGTCGAAGGTCACCTCTGTACTGAAGAAGGTCATGATGTGGAATTTGGCTAAAATTAGGAAACATTTCAGCACTAAAGAGCAGTGTGTGGCATTCGCTGAAGAAAATTGATTAGTACATTCGCAAAAGCGATGTAGAACACATCGTGTTCCCATGAAAGATGCTACTAGATGCTATTGTACGAAAGGAAAACAAAGCAAAATCGAAAGTTCCTAGAAATATTCGAAAAATTGGAGCTACAACACAGCCATTAATGAAAACTCATATAAAAAAAATAGACAACAATGCAAAAGCCAAGCCACCATAAATCATTGGTATAATTATTGCTGAGAAGCTATATTTATTTATACCCCTAGAGTGTTATTTTAAACCCGTAAAATGCCTGTGCTTTGGTACGCAAGGGTGGAGGGGCGCCATTTCCCGCAGGGCTTGAGATGTCCAAAAAACCTATTATTATCACGTCAACCGTAATCGGGTTTCCCCAGGTAAAAAAAAAACAAACCATAAAAAAGGTTAGATTAGGTTAGGTTAGGGTAATATTTATATCGATTTAAAAAAAAATAATAATAACTGTTTCCGGCGCGTGGAAGTGGTTGGCTGATAACCCTACCCCTTCTTCCTCCCTCCCACTCGCAACTCCCAATAATGGCGACGTATTTCAAAATTTTTACCAAATTTGATGATATTTTCCAAATTTTTATTAAAAATTGTATGGAAGAGTGAAGTGACACTAAGACAGGGTAAGAACACTAATAAGTTACATTTTAAATATATTAAATAAAGAATTTCTTATGTCAGTTATTTCAGCTTTTTATTTCTGTCACACGATCGTACGGATGGCCTAAGTATTAGCTAGCCAGTTTAATAAATGTTAACAATGTTAAAAATGTTAACGCTACGGCTAAATATCTTTCAGGCCGCGAGTTAAAAGGCTAGGCTGTTAATTGAACGGCTTATTATGCTAGTTGGCTGCGACATATCTATCACGAATAAAGAATTTCAAATTAACGATGTTATAGTTTTATAATTATTAAATCTGAATATACCACTTTCTTTGTAAATAAACGATTTATTATTGTTATTAAAACATAATTTAAGTTAAGAAAAACTTGGAATACACACTTAAAACACAAACAACAACTAAACTAACAACACTTAAATATTGAAATAAAATTATCGTGTAACAGCGCCCTCTATGTACTCACATGAACAACACGTAGCGAATACACCACAGAAACCTATAGCTTTCCCGCCCTGTGTGTTACATTGATTTCTGGATAAACATACACCGCCAGTCGACCTGTCTGACCCTAGACACTGTTCACCGTTGCCAACCGTAAAAATACTTCCAGGGGCTTGTCTTGCAGCTGAAAATAGATATACTTTTAAAATATAATGAATAACGAAGACGAAAGTGGTGGTTTTAGTTCATATTATATATTATAACGGATGTAGGGCGTGTTATATTTCTTTATTATCTCTATATTATTATTGTTTCATCCTATTACGGTATAATATATTTATTTCTCAGTAAGAATATTACAACATTCACTTACATGAGAAAATATAGGTACTAATATAACAATACGCTTATCAATTAATTGTATAATAGTAAAAGAGTACAACAGCAGGCAAGAAACAGAAGTCTTGTTAGATAAAAGTACAGCAATTACAATATTTTCTAACAGAATTACACAACACAATCTTAATGATTAAATAAATCAATGTAATACTTGTCGCTTTTCATCGCAGCGTAGACATATTTGGCAGAAAGAGACGAAATACTATTTAACATTTCATTTACTTGATATTAGCGTCATCTAGTATCAAATAGCAGAACTTACATCTAAATAACGTTGTCGCTGTTCCGCAACTCGCCGCCGCTAGAATTAGCAGCAATGTGTATGTAGCTTCCATGATTGAAATCTGTAATGGATGTCTCAACGAGTTAGTAATCATTTTAAGGACTGCTTTTGCAAAATTTAAATGCTATTCAAAAAAAAAAATTGTCGAATCACGGCTCCACCTTAAAACAGCTCCAAGCTTGTTCCTATCGTCCTGTACTACTTGTGTCTAATTCAAATTCATTTATTCATTTAAGTAACACAATATACACTTATGACCGTCAAAACAGAAATATAAATGAAATGCTTCTTATTTTACATTTACTCATTACTGCCAGTACTCAAAATAAAACATAAGATAAAAATTGGCTATAAACTCTCCGCCACTCTTTTTAATCGCCAAGTTATTACTTATTGAAGTTAAACTTCTTTATTTCTGACGATTGTAACGATATAACCATATATTATTTAGTCTATAGTCTGTGTAGTTTCGGCTATTTAAAATAACAACGATAGCGACTTTTATAAGACCGTCAGCGCCATCTAGCGGTGCATCATTTGAGCTGATTTAAGTCCGTTTCTTTGTAGTGTTTATTTAGGATAGCATTCACTGGTTTAATTGGATACTGATTCTTGTAATCATGTTATAATTAATATTTATTTATATTTCAAATGAAAATTCTTACATGTGACCAAATTAAAATTCCACTAAAGAGGGAAGGTCCCCATCCTAGCTTGCTTTTCTTTTGTTATACATACGGCCAATTTTTTCGCTTAATTTCGTATTTTACCATTTTGGAAACAGTAAATTTAAACTAAATTAATTATACTAAAAATCTGGTCTATTTTATATCAAAATAACAAAGTTGTATAACAGAATAGCAAAGTGAACGAAAAAAATTTAACAGTTTTAAAATAGTAAAACAATATTATAAATTGCAAAGTTTTTTGAACATCTCTAAATATACTTATTGATTTATTACTTTTAAAATAAGTAAATAAGTAATAAATTTTCTGACGATTGCGACATTCTATAATATTCAATAACAAGGTTATATTGACATGTGCTGATCTAACCTCCGTATTTGAATAATCTTTGTAAAGCACATGAATAATAAATAATAATATGATATTTATTATTTCAGTTAATATTTAATCATTTCAGTGATATATGCCGTCAACGCCAAAGAAGTTTTACTTCAATCGCGCGTATAGGTTACACGCACACACTTTCTTTTTGTTTTAGACAACGTTTGTGCAGAGCTGCAACCATTACACCATCTTCCACATGACATCTTAAGTAATCAATAATAATACAATAAATTAGAAACAAAGTTCAGTACTCCAAGTAATATTAAGGAGGCGCATGGCTTTGGACCCCTTAAAAAAATGTATAACTGGTAATTATATGCATGATGTAAATGATATTATCTCAGTTCCCAGTAGGTCCCAGTCCACATTAGGTAAGGTTAGGTTAAAGCCAAACATTTATACCTTCTTTCATTCATTATACAAATTGTGATGTTTTAATTTATTTATATTGGGCTAAATAGTCACCACCACATTATTATATGGTACCATTGCCGAGTGATGAAAATATGTAGAAAAAAAATTGGAGCCTTTTTAAGGTACCACCTTAAGGAAGGGCCGTGATTCGACAGATTTACCAAAGATATTAAGTTAGAGTTCTTTAATCATCTACATGGCGGGAGAACTGTCATTTTAACCGTCTCACATAAAAAAGTCCGCGCCTATCTACGCATTTAACGGATTTCTATAAGGTTTTCACTAGTGTGTAGTGTGATTCCTGATGAAAGTGTAGGTATATAAATCTTTATGGTTTTTAGTTAAATTGGCTAAAATAAAATATCGTCAAAGATGTTATCATAATACTAGAAATCCGACATGTTTAAATTCTAATAAAAAGTATTTTTAATTTAATTTTGTGTTTTAAATAATTAGACAAACTTATAGAGGTTCCCTACTTAGCCTACCTTTTTAGTATACCGACATCTGGAATATTTTGCTATGCCACTCCAAAGGGACTGGTTTTTAGGTATTTTTTTCGCAATTATCCTCTCCATAAAAACCTGGTTCATCCGACTATAAATAAATACTCTAATTGGTCCGGCCGTTTTCGAGTTTTGCGTTTGGCATTTGCGATTCATTTTCATTTATACAGTTATACTGAGTGGGGTCTCTCTGCATCTTCTACAGCATTTACCATGGAGAGTGTTCAGAGGAGTTGTTCGGGCTAATACCTGCAGCTGAGTTTCATTAACGGACGTCAAGGCAGGCTACAAAATAGTATAACCGTATCAGCAGAGGCTTAACTGATGTTAAGTGATACCGATGCCATGGACACTCAATGCCAGAGGGGTCGCGAGTGCGTCGCCGACCTTTTAAGAATGCCCTTGAATCCTAAGTTGAATTGGTTCGGAAATACTTCAGTGGGCAGCTGGTTCCACACGTTCGTTGTGGAACGGCGGACGTCGAGGTGATACAGTGGAATTTCGTATTCTACCTTGACGTCTGATGGAACTCAACTGCAGGTATTAATTCTGATCACCTACTTGCCTATATCACAAATGATCAAGATACCTATCCGAGGCCCAGACCTAGCAAAAACTGTAGCACCACTATTTTTTTTTTCATTGGGTCACCTGTTAGAACAGGCTCTGTATATAAATAAATATATATATAATAGGAATTCTAGAAACTTCGAATGCTCTCTCTATCTTCTAAATAAAGACAGGTTCAAGACAGGTTAGCGAACTTTCAACTATCTAGTAATAACTGTAACTAATTACTGTTAAAATGGTTTTCAACTAAAAATTTGACGAACGAACTTTCAAAAAACAGCTTTGCTAATTTCCTTACAAGACCAATCAATTGTTTAATTTCTATTGAATTTTTGAGATTTAATTTTTTATTTATGAGCATAAAGACTTTTTAAATTAATTTGTTTTTTTTAGGTTGGTACACATTATTATTAATTAAATTGAACCGAATTAAATTAACGGTAAGCGAACTTTTGTGTTGTAACTTAAAATATGAACTTGATTTGAACTTCCCAAACAGCTTAACTATTGAATTTCCTGACAATAATTAATATTAATTGAAACACACAAATATACAGTATTTAAAATTTTCTCAACATAGTAATAATAACATAAGATAAATATAAAATTTAAATAAATTTAAAAAGTTTGGTCCCTATGGTATACCTTTAACGCAGGCTCCTCGCTGTTTGCGATAATTCGTTGAGGAAAGCACCAGCTCTGGGGTCACCAATACTATTTATCTAATTGTTTGTGAATTTTGGAGTTTTAAAAACTTTAGATTTATTACCAATAACAGTACTTTTTAAATGTGTAACCTACACATTATTCATTTAAATTATCGAAACTGAATATTAACGATTCACGCTCAACGACGTCAATTTTAATTAAACAATAATAAATTATACATCCAAACCTTCCTTATCAAGTAATGAACACTATATAAAAACCCGTCAGTAGTTTTTCAAATAATCGCGTTTAAGTACACGTTTGTATTCAACGAAATAACTACTGTACTGACAAAACTAACACCAGTAATCTATACTAACATGAACAGGATAGATTTGTATGTAAGTATGTTTGTAACGAATTGGCTTAAAAACTACTGGACCGATTTGAAAAATTATTTCACCATTTGAATGCTATTTTATCACTAATTAATATAGGCTATTTAATTTGCAAGAAATCCCTACTACTAATATAGAAAATATTAATATCTACAAAATATGTTTAAACATGTCCACCCGTGCGAAGCCGGGACGGGCCGCTAGTTAATAAAAGAAAAATATAGTATATGTAATAAATGAATGAACATACCTCTGCTGTATATGTCCGCAACTAAGAACTGGTCATTCGAGGAAAGTGGTTTTATACCAGCCTATGACCGCTCATTATAGTCTAAGAGCTGACTGGTGTTCAGGAACGTGTGTCAAAAACGATTTTTATATAGAATTTCGAGCACACTAAAAGCCCCAAAAAGGGCAGTCATAGCAACCCATTGATTCCACTTGAGGGAGGAGTATACTCTTACTTTGAACAATTGGAGGTCGTTTCTCCCAGGGAAGATCAGTGGGATTCGGTTCCTCAGTTCGCTAAAAAAATTATTGATGCCGGCGATGAAAGAAGAGAAGAATAAATTATAAAAGCCCGTTTAAAATCTTGACATAAGTATATTATACAATATACAGCTTAGGTTTTTTCTTGTTATCTAGGGATATTACCCAGCTTCCTTCAGTACCCTTGATCGGAACCCCTTCACGGGTAAAGGCCTCCTCCAGCATGTTCCAAATATCTTCACGGCTTTCTCTCTACATTGGCAGAAGGCTCCCAAGTACGTTGCCGGCCTTTTAGGAATTGGCAAGCTCTTTTGTTAAAGCCCACTAAGAGGTGAGAATTCACAACTCTTAGACTACAGTCTATGCAGTAATTTGTGTAATGTGTGTTTATAGAGATTTAATATACATACAGTTAGGTGTTCCGAAAGGTTCTAACGCCGCGTATTGAGCTATGTTATCCTGCTATGTATTAATAACATATGCAGACTGTTTCTTTGATATAATCAGATTTCTGTTGAGTTAAGACTTGAATTGAGACTATTATCGGTAAAATTTATTAATAAGAACTTTTACATTCCTCCAACTTTGATTTCGCTCCCTTTGAAGTGTTTTTGGGCCGTGAGATTTAAGATTTAAGTTGGCACCTGGTAGGTGACCCCAGAGCTGGTGCTTTCAACGAATAAGTATCGCAATACAGCGAGCATTAAAGGTTTACCACACATACTATATTACATTTGTTTCTTTTTTATATTTAGTCATTCTCAATTATTATTATGGCTTCAGCGTGCGGCTCCCATCCCTGAGGTCGTAGGTTTAATCCCCGGCTGTGCACCCATGGACTTTCTATATACGCATTGAACATTCGTACATCGTGTACACAAGGAAAACATCGTGTGGAAACCGGCTTGCCTTAGACCCAAGTCGCGCGTCACAGGTTGATCATCTACTTGCCTATA